CATAATTAATATTTTTTCTTTCAAATTTATCCTTCACTTTTCAATGTATTAGATTAGGTAGAGGTTAAGTATCTTTCATATTCTTTTCTTTTCCAATACGTATTGAATAAGATTATTTTAATAATGTTCTAATTATTGTTTACTCATATTACAGTTATTTAATAATTTTCTTAATCTTTATATAAAAATTTTAAATGATAGATATTTAGGAATCGAAAGAGTATTTTGTAATGGGTTCACATTTTCCAATGGACTTCGGCCATTGGGCTTCCATTGGATTCGGATCCTCTGTCGTACAACAGGGATGATGTTCCTAAAACGACTTCATTTTGTACGTAAAATAATATTATTTTGAGAAATTGCTCTTCTGCTGTATTACAGATGAGCTGTGCCCGCTTCAAGATCCTTAACGCGGAGGAGCTTTAATGTTCTTATGTTTCTTTAGTCCACACGCGGAGCTTTATGCTGATGATATGCATAAGATTAAGCAGAAAAGGGTTGATGTTGGTATCCAGCAAATTATTTCTACTTCATTGAATATTTTAGAAAGCTTTGTGTCATTTTCGTTTTACCTTTTTTCTGTTTCTATTCGTTCGTGCTGCAACACGGTTTTGTGCTGCCCAATGGAAGACTAGGATGCTTTAATGTCGCCCTTTTTCTCACCTTCTTTTCCAGATGGATAGCTAGTAGACCCGCCTGCTCTTTTTTTTTGTTTACACCTTACGAGGAATTAGGACCGATAATTAAACCCAGTTCTATGAGTTTAAAGTCAAATTTATCGAATTTATTTTTTTTAAACGAATCTAAAAAATTATTTAAACTTGATTCGTTTAGAAAATGAGCTGAGCGTGAGACGAGCTCAAAACAAGTTCAATTCAGATCAAGCCTGAGTAGTTTGACAATTTTATATATAGGGAATTTTTGTGAACTAATACTTCATTTACTATTTAATTGTGGAAAAATTTCGGTACAAAATGTTTTATGTAGAAGTAAATTTTTTTTTAATGACATAAATGCCCACAAGGTAATATTTACGTGGCGCAAATAGTGGATAAGGAAAATGCTATAAATCATGCAATAATTTCATTAAATTTGACAATTAATATATCCCTCAAAATATGGGTTTTTTAATTTTTTTTTTTAAAAAAACTACTATAAAATTCTTCAATTTTCAACCAAAAAATAAATCACAAACATTGAAGTGCCATTGAAGACCGATCCTTCTATTCCGATTCAAATTACTGATAATATGACATTATAGTGATATATGATAGTGTAATACCTTCATTAACACTTTAATCACTAACAAAAAAAACTATGAAATTATATTTACTGATTCATACATAATTTAAATAGTATGCATCAAATAATGTGACATTTATATATATTATTTTTAATGAATGACAATGTTACATCATAGTGTAACATTGTACGGTGACACTGTTGTTAGATTTAAGAACAATCAGAGACGTTTAACATAAAAAAATAAATTTTAAAAATTAGGTCAAGCCGTTATAAGATATATTTCATATAGTATAATTTTGAATTTCAAATATTTTTAATCCCTTAAAATATGAAATCATTAATATAATAAATCAAACCCCATAAAAAATGGGTTTACCAAACTAACAAACATTCACATAAGGAAAATAGTATTTTAGTGAATAAAATATTTGTAAATCTGTCATTGAGTACCTAACTGTAATATATTTCAAGTTAAAGATACTTATCTACAAAAAATTTTTGTAAAGGTATTTTCTTATAATTACGTGGTTTAAAAAGTACTTGCTCACAATTTTTCATTATATATAAACAAGTCGAGCACAAAATAAGTTTAAAAAATTGTTCAAATTTAGCTAGTTTAGAACACGAAGAGCTCAAATCAAGCCTTATCTGAGTCGAGCCCGAGTTGAACGCGAGTAGTTCGGTTCAATTATCAGTCCTACAAGGTCCTTTCATACAGAGCTACTCTGGGTAGGGCTGAACTCGAATTACGCGAGTTTAATTCGTTTGAGGTTAAACTAGTCGAGTTTGAATAATTTTTAAACTTATTTTTTTAAACGAGTCTAAAAAACTAAACTCAAGCTCGTAAAGTTATGCTCATTTATGTGTAAAATAGTCGAATTATTCGAATTTGATTTTGTTTAGATTCAACTTGTTTTGAGCTCAAAAAATTATTCGAGTTTGAACAATTTTTTAAACTCATTTCAAAAAAACAAATTTGACAGACTTTGCTCGATTATCGGCCTTAGTTCTAGATACCTTCAATCTTCCACTTGCCACAAGTACCGGATAAACCCTAGGCCAGCCTAACACAGGAGGAAATGAAGCGGTTACTTTAGGCCCATTAATAAAAAGGACCCCAAAATTTTAAAAGTCTACAAATATAACCCAAGTTAATTTTAACCCATTAAGAAAGCCTCATATGAAGGCCTAAACCAACAAAAAAAACTCTAGAGTAATTTTGGGCCCAAAAATTTAATTCATTAATCTCACACAATAACATTTTATAAGGAAAAAAAAAAATATATATTTTTTATACCGAATTTAGTAATCTTATATGGTGACATGATGAATCATAACTATGGAATTGATAGTGGGTCCCAACTAATAGTAGGGCGCACTGTCTATCTAATAACAAAAAATGATAAGATCGTCAAATAAAGTCACTAAATAAGGTCCATGTAATATTTTATTTTTTTATCATAATCTTAAAAAATCTAATCAAACATATATTCTATGAGAAATCCCTAATTCATAGAAAAATGTTTTTAAAAGAGTGTCAATGACGAGACAACATAATTTGTCAAATAATCTTTGAATTTGAAAGTTTTGAAAATTTTTATTTAATTTAAAAATTAAGTCAATTAGTTATACTATCAATAAAAAAGATATGTTAGAAAAACTTCAATACGAATATAAAACAATTAATATGCATCCGGAAAAAAAAAATTTAAAATTTACATCATTATTAAAAAAAATAATTTTAGTTGAATTTATCGCTTTAAGCCTCAAAACATATCAAGCCACCTCTAGATAAACCCAGAAGTCATTAGGAAGAATAGAACTTAGAGGAACTCCAACTCACTCTCTATTTTTCTCTTTTTAATTATTTTATCTAATCAAAGACTAAAAAAGATCTTCAACCCACTCTCTATCACACTCTCTATTTTCTATTTCACTAAAATGACTCTCCAAATTTGAAAAGTCATGCAATCTCTTCAAATTCTCTCTCTCTCTCTCTCTCTAGGTTTCAATCTCCTTCGAATTATTGAAAGTTAGTTGAAGTAGTTAGCTAAAATAGAGAGAGCATCATTGAAGTGAACTTGTAAAAGTGATTATCTAAAATAGAGAATTTAATATTTAAATATATTTTTAATAATTAAAATAGAGAGTTGAGTTAGACTTACTATTAATACATTACTGTTTTTCACAAGCTACCTCCATGGCGCTGTGCTACTCGTATAGGTTCCGGTGTATCTATGATGATTATGATTGAATAACACAAGGATGGTCCAAAAATTGATTGTTGTTAATGCATAGCAAGAAGTGGCAGTCATATTCCTGCTCCTCAGTACAAGCTAGTTTTCCATATTGAGCATTTTTTTCATTAAAATCACCAAATGGCATATAGTTAATCTAAGAACAAACAATATATAAAAGGTAGTATCTTTTTATGAATGTATAATAGTGTATCAGTAACCTGTCGGATATTAAGATTTTAAGGATTCCAATGGAGGTTTTGATCCAATCATCCATTTGACTTGATCCGAAAACAAAAAAAAAGAGGGAAACGAAACATTCAACACTGTTTGATTCTGTATGTATGCAAGGAAGAAGGAATATGAAATCTGANCATTTGAAGGACAGATATTTGAAGTATCAATAAAATTACTCTATTGTAAATATGAATGTTACGAGTTTGAGTCAAAAATAGTTTTTTCGCACAAGGTATGATTGCTTGCATGTAAACTTTTTCGGATCCAGAAGAGAAAAGAGTCTCTCACACAATATGCTATCCTTTAATCTGATCACCTGTTTTCCCCTTTCAATTAACAAAGTGGTTCACATTACACAGTGTGATCATGCTTTTTACTTGCTCAACATTCCTTTTCCTATAGCTTTAGAGGAAAAAAAACTGATAAACAGTACTTTTGCTTCCGAAAACAAAAAAAAAAAGAGGGAAACGAAACATTCAACACTGTTTGATTCTGTATGTATGCAAGNCGAAAACAAAAAAAAAGAGGGAAACGAAACATTCAACACTGTTTGATTCTGTATGTATGCAAGGAAGAAGGAATATGAAATCTGAGCCATTCAATATGAAATCTGAGCCATTCAACATTAAAACTCGTAAAAAGACAACAGATAACACACACACACACAGAGCAAGTATGAGTCACAAAGCCTAGTTTGATCAACACAGCTCAATCACATACATTTCCTTTGTCAACATCCTGCAGATGATAAAGAGAGAATGTAGTCAAGTTTCAGCTATTACAGTGAGTAAGCAGTCAAACTCCGAGGTGCTCAAAAGATTGAACAAAAAGCACAAAAATGTCGCTTGCAAGGAGCATAACAGCTTAAGTAACGAAGAATTTGATACTTCGGCACTCTGCAGCAACTTGCACTAACCATACAATGATTTGTGTCAAAAAGATCAGGCTTATTCAGNACATAAAAACTCGTAAAAAGACAACAGATAACACACACACACACAGAGCAAGTATGAGTCACAAAGCCTAGTTTGATCAACACAGCTCAATCACATACATTTCCTTTGTCAACATCCTGCAGATGATAAAGAGAGAATGTAGTCAAGTTTCAGCTATTACAGTGAGTAAGCAGTCAAACTCCGAGGTTCTCAAAAGATTGAACAAAAAGCACAAAAATGTCGCTTGCAAGGAGCATAACAGCTTAAGTAACGAAGAATTTGATACTTCGGCACTCTGCAGCAACTTGCACTAACCATACAATGATTTGTGTCAAAAAGATCAGGCTTATTCAGGTCTGCGCATTTTCACATTAACGGGAGTTTCCTTGTATGACTGAACCTTCTTGGCTGCCTGGCGCAATGGCCTTCCTATAGATGATCTTCCAATTTCTTGGGGTTTATATATCGGGCCAGAACTCTCATCTTTATCCTCTGTTTTGACTAATGAAGACATAGTAGCTGAACCATCTTCCAGCATTCGATCATCACGCGAAGGACATTCAGGCAATTTGGCTTCATCTATCTCAAAGAAGTCTTCAGTAGGTTTTGATTCTTCAGATTTGAATCTAGCAGAGTGCCTTCTCACACACAGCCTATCAAGGCAACACAAAAAAAGGCAGGAAGATGTTTTTGAAAAACTGATTTTAGGAAGCTGCTTTAATTATTAAAAAAACTGCAGGAAACATGACCAAGGTGACATAACAAGCGCAGAAACCTTTTGCTTTCAGCATCCTCCTTAGCATGACTTTGTTTGACAGGAGAAGGGCCAAAACCTACACGTAACCAGAACAGGTGGTTACCAAAGCAAAGCACTGTCTAGATTTCAAATTAATTTCCTAGTCCTACTGCAGTAATTATGCTGACTTTTTGATTGCCGCCTTCTGTTGGTAGTACAAGGTTTATTGTCATCTCTATCTGATTGCGCATACTCCTGAGCTTCCTCACACTTGCTTACTTTCACCTTCAGACGGTGAAAGCGTACAATGCATGCATAAAAAGGATGTCAATCAAATAACCTCTTTGACCTACTTTTATTGTAAATGACCACGGGATCAACTTATATACCTCAGTCTCACAGTCAATCTTTTGACATGTTTTTGTTCTTGCTTTTGCGTTTGCGTTTGCGTTTGCGTTTGCGTTTGCGTTTGCTTTCTCCTGGCAAAACAACAACTGTGCGTTAGTCAAAAATAAATAATATGAGAGCCTTGCCTGCCTAGCGGTTACAGAAGAAATAATATCTAAATGAACCTTAAACACCAACTCTTTNCTTTCTCCTGGCAAAACAACAACTGTGCGTTAGTCAAAAATAAATAATATGAGAGCCTTGCATGCCTAGCGGTTACAGAAGAAATAATATCTAAATGAACCTTAAACACCAACTCTTTTGCTTTAAGCAAACCATTTTTGCAACCAAGCTCATGATGTAGTGCTTTCAGCTGAAATTACCGAGTGTCAATCATAAATAAATAAAACTATAGACATGGTCACAGCCAGAACCAAAACTAAGCCATACAACAACTTGCCTTGTTTTTGAGTGAGAACTTACCCTATCTTTACCTGAATTTAGTTCCTGCAAAATTTAAGGAACAATATAATCTATGTCATTAATATCAATATTTCTAAAAAGAAAATTGCAAAAAACTCAAACAAATCGTCAACTATCTAGCATATGTGAGGAAAACATACTGCCAGCATCTGNATCTTGCCTTGTTTTTGAGTGAGAACTTACCCTATCTTTACCTGAATTTAGTTCCTGCAAGATTAAGGAACAATATAATCTATGTCATTAATATCAATATTTCTAAAAAGAAAATTGCAAAAAACTCAAACAAATCGTCAACTATCTAGCATATGTGAGGAAAACATACTGCCAGCATCTGACTGTTGGTTTGAGCAAGCTGCGAATTCTGTTGNGCAAAAAACTCAAACAAATCGTCAACTATCTAGCATATGTGAGGAAAACATACTGCCAGCATCTGACTGTTGGTTTGAGCAAGCTGCGAATTCTGTTGCATCACTTTCTGCAAATTGACCCTCAGTTTCTGAAGCTCAATTCCACTCAATTCAATGATTTTGCTGTCAAGCATGGTTAAGAAAAACCAGAACAGGGAAAAATACCAATTTGGAGATAACTCATTCAAGTTATGTCCTCTAACGATGTCTCACTACAAAGCAAAGCAAATTGATCACAAAAGGATACTTTCTCTCTACTACAAGTTTCATCAACGACATATTTTCCTGAACAGTTTCAAGGAAACACATTAAACTAGAATATGAACAACACGTAACAACGGAAAAAATAAAGAAAAAAGAAGAGTGTCAAACCCACAAGATATGAACCTTCTTTAGGTGGTCAATATATTCTTTACTGGTCATGGTTATAGTCTGTGAGTTATCCTTTTGGTTCGAGGGTTTAGGCTGCTGAGGCAAATTGCTTATGTCGGCAAGCTTCTTCCTTGCCACATTCCCAGTAGGACCCTTCATCGTTTTGTCTAGTTTAGGTTTCTCTGATATCGGAACCAAGTCTCATAGTCATTCAACAAACACTGATTCAAAAGCCACGGGGCAGCAGATAAACTAATTTACAAAAAATAAATTACAAGCATTAATGGGATAGTCATACAAGATGTTGGGGGTAAATAAGCCTCAACCAACCAGAAAACAAGAATAAAAAATGCATACAGAAAGAACTCTTGGCTGAATATGGGGGCATGAATCCGCAAGAAGGAATTGGTATTGACAAAAACCTAGTTTAGAAGTTAAATTAATATGGTCTTCAATTCCAATTCCAAGGCTTGGAATTCATGCTACCAAACACAGCATTTTGAGCATCTCTACACAGATAATCATATTAATCCTCAGCCCAGAATAATTAAGAGGCCCAAAACAACCTACTTGCTGGAAAAGAAGGGTACCCAAAAACTAATGTGCAAGAACAATGAAGTGGACAAGCCTCAATTAATCTAACATTTGTCAAAGTAACCACCAAAATCTCAAAACCCTAATGCGTCCTAGATAATTAAACTTCAAATAAGCTAAATTTGAGATTTCATTAGACAATTCAACAAGTACATTGAGATATGCAAGTTTCAATTACGTGAAAACTAACAAAAATCACACAAGGAAATATAAACAAAAACAACCCTAAATCCCCCAATTCGATACAAAAGAAATGGCTTTAACATATAATTACAGTTAAATGTACACTATACGAAGAACAGGACATAGATAAGTCCCAATTAACCTCAAATATAAATCCTGAAACGTAAGGAGTCAATGAAAGCGAGAAATGGAATTTAACATATGAAGAGAACTGGGGTAACGCGAAAGTTTACCTCCCGCTATTTTGCTGTTCTCTGAATCCGGAACCAAGGAACCTTCCATAGCTAAAATCCACAAAACTCTCTATCTCTCTAAGATCCCCACCTCCCTCTCTCTCCCTCTCTCTCCCTCCAAAATTCGCGATTTCAAGCNTTAGATGCAGAGTACGCTTGAAAGTGGAAACGGAGGGAAATGAAGACTGAGGAGGGGCGGACGTCTGGACAGCGTGGGACTTCCCGAACCAATTTCCGAGGCTACTTTGAATATCAAAATCCAAGCCTGGTTTTTGTTTTTTGATTTTTAGTTGAATTACATTTTGCTCCAAGAAACTTCTTCAAATTTTCAATTTATGCCCTACAAGATTTAAGCTCTTTATTTTTTTAGTCAGACACTTTTTACTAGAAAGGAAGACGATAAGATTTGAACCTGTGACTTTAATATCTAACAACAGGGTCGATAGTCATAGGTCAATNATAAGCTCTTTATTTTTTTAGTCAGACACTTTTTACTAGAAAGGAAGACGATAAGATTTGAACCTGTGACTTTAATATCTAACAACAGGGTCGATAGTCATAGGTCAATCGCTAACCTCTACTAAGCTCCTTGATTGCACCCTTAATTATTTAAAGAATGTATCAAATTGGTCCAAATCAAATTTGTTGCTTTATTCGACAATTATTTTATTCTACTCTTTTATATTTTTTTATTTATGTACATTATTTATTTACTACTCAATATTAAGTATTTTACGTGAGAGTTTTGTACTCAATTTTTTTTTTAAAAAAAAAATCACATTGCTATCTTTCATATAATTGAGGGTGCGCTTGTGACAATTTTAATATTTCACAATGCAATTAAAATTTAAAAATCTTTTAAGTAGGGAAATGGTTTTTTGCCTTTTTTTTTTTAATGATTTTTCAACTAGGGTGAAAATTCCTATTATGCATGAAATTATAACTTTTTTTTCCACTCCTCCAGATTTTTCTACTCTCATCACTTAAACTGTGGGATAATGAATTACAAAAAATTATAGGAAATTTTTTTAACTGAGTGGTGGTTAATAAGTGGAGGTAGAGGAATTGTTACATTTGACAGATGGTAAAAAGCAATTGAATAAAATTTTATTATTAATTAAATCAATAAAAATTTAAAGTTTAAGAAAATAAGGGGGAAGATTTTTCTTTTTCTATAATTAGTTCTATTAATATGTATAGTAAATGTATTACAATTGATAAAATAAAAAAAAATAAAAAAAATCTAAGATCGGAGAATATAATGAGAGAAAAACTTCTTATGTGCTTAAAAAAAAGGGATTTAGGGAGGCCGGTACCTCTCAAAAAATTTAATAGGATAAAAGTACAAATTTTAAAATAATTGAGATAGAAATACATATGCTAAAAAAAGTCATAAAAGCCTTTTTACCCCACCATAAATAGTATATTTCTAATTGAATGTGAGAGTTTCAAGATTAAAATGTGAGACTTTCAAAATTTTCTTTGACATTTGGGTATCATTTGAATTTAGAAAGTTTATATATATATATATATATATACACACACACACACACACACACACGTAATACAGTGACATCAAATAGTGACACGCTCAATAAAAAAAATAATAACATCAAACAGTGACACACTTAACAAAAAAAGACTAACATTAAACAGTAACACACTCAACAAAAAAATAGTAACATCAAACAATAACACAAACATTTTTGTTGAGCATGTCACTGTTTGATGTTACTCTTTTTTTGTTTAGCGTGTCACTGTTTGATGTTACTATTTTTTTATTGAGCGTGTAACTGTTTAATGCCACTGTATTACGCGCGCGCGCGTGTGTATATATATATATAATTTTAAAATTCAAATGATACATAAATATAAAAAGAAATATTGAAAATTTTACATTCAAGTAGGTATGCACTATTTATGATAGGANTTATAATGGGAATCGTGGTGGTGGGGGGTAGTTGTGGTTGTGGTGGAGGTCGTGGTGATGGTGGTGGTGGAACAGTGGTAATGGTGGTGGTAGAGCGATTCCAAATATTATTTTTTTAAAGTACTTATTAAAGTTATACGTTCTAGAAATACTTTTAAAAAGTCATTTTAAAAACACTTTTAGGGGCCTATTTTTTCTATTAAATTTAGGGTATTTATATTAGTTGTCGGATTAATTTTAATGTAAAATTTTAAAAAATCTTAACTGTGAAAAGTATTTTGTTTATCTTTTGAGATTTGAATGATATTGTACTTTATTATATAGACTAGTTTATTGTCTGTGTCTAAAGGCACGAAATAGTAAAAAAAATTGGTCAACAATAAACATATTTATATTCACATCTAAAATTAAATCACAAATGATGATGCACAAAAATTAGTTTGCACACCATTTGTCAATTAAGTAATATAAAATGCAGTAAAGTAGAAAGGGAGAAGACCAAGTTTATGGTGATTCGGTCAAAGTGACCTACGTCCACTAGGAATGACAAGGGTCGTCGGGATTTTATTAACTCCGGTACAATGGGAGAGCAGGAGATTACAAGCTTTCAAAGAGGAGGAGAGAATTGTGCTCAAAATGAGTGATATGCCCCCCAAGTGTTGATGGGACTTACAATTTATAATGGGCTAAGTGTAGTAATTGAATAGCTAGTCTGACGGCATAACGGGTTGGGGCCATTTAATAGCTGTAACGGATTTGAGGTGACTTTAACAGTGATTAAATAGCTTGGCGACCTCTACTATCCTCAACAACAAGGAAGTTTATGATGCTCTCCAAAAGACTTGGTCAAAGGATGAGAGAAGATTGACTCTCTCCAAGCGGGAACAATGAGACTCCTGGACGCTCTCTTGGTGGTGTAAAGGAGACTCTCAGATGACCTTGCATGCTCCTTGAGCTTGATGAGTTTGACCAAATCGATCACATTGGACTGGACTTNAGGAGACTCTCAGATGACCTTGCATGCTCCTTGTTGATATAACTCCTTGAGCTTGATGAGTTTGACCAAATCGGTCACATTGGACTGGACTCGGTGGACCTCTTGGAGTTGAGCCTTAAAACTCGGACCATGCTTATAACATGAGTTGGACTTTTGGGCTTGGTCCATCAACAAACATAGAGGAAATAAAAGAATTTAAGCATCTATCGTAGTGAATGTGAGCGGTGATAGTAGCGGTTGGCGACAATGGTGGTGGTGAAAAACGGTAATGGTTATGGTGGGTGGTGGTAATGTATAACGGTGGGTGCTAATGGTGGATGTTAAAGGTAGTGGGATTATGGTGGTAGTAGCAATAAATATAATAATAAGATGATGATAGTGATGGGTGAGAGCGGTGAACGACGGTGATAACAATCGGTGGTATATGACAAGGGTGGTGGTGGTGGTGAGGGTGGCGCTGGGGCAATGGAGGTAGTGGTGGGGCAGTGACGGTGGTGATAGGGATGACGATAGTGACAATGGTGGTGGTGGGGTGGTTGTGGTGATGGTGGTGGTAATGGGGATGGTGGTGGTGGTAGAGGTAGTTGTGGTGGTGGTGGTGGTTGTAGTGGGGGTGGTGGTGGTATTAGGGCGGTTTTAAACATTTTTTTTTTAAAATACTTATGAGAAGTATAAGTTCCATTTAAAAAATCATCTCAAACACATCTATATGACTCTATTTTTCCTATTAAATTTAAGATATTAATATTAGTCATCGGATTAATTTTAAAGTAAAATTTTAAGAGATTTTAACTGCGAAAAATAAAAGTTAGTTTATTTATTTTTAAGATTTGAATTGTATTGTAATTTATTATATAATTTTTTTTTATTCTTTATCTTTGTTGACCGATTTAAGAACCCTGAATGGGACACAAACCCTCTCCATGGTGTCCACCATTTTGTATACCATCTTGATAAATTATACAAACAGGTTGCTTATTCTAGTTGAGTGCACAACAAAATGATTTATAAGAAGACCCCTTTCCACAACATAAAGAACAATCAGAGACCTAAATGTCAAGCCAAAATGGCACTCCGGTCGCCGGAATCCACGACTCCCCCTGAATGAAATTTCTCACTAAAAATGGGCTAGCTTGTTGAGGATCATTCAACACATGAAAACCAGGCCATCTCACCCTTCGGGTGGTTGAAGCTCCAGTACCGGAGTTCATATATTCTACATAATATAGTGTTGAAAGAGCAAAGTTGCCACTCCATTCAGTCCACCCTTTTGGATCAATCAATCCATCCATTTCCGTCTTGAATAAAATTGTCCTCGAGTATTTTTTCCATGGTCGCCCTAAATAACTCTTGATTGCGCCTTTAACAGAAGCAAAATCTGGGGCAGGTGCGACCCGAGAGTTGACATTTGAAATCCCAGTATTCTCATTTGGATCAACTCTTCCCTGTGCAGTGATCATGTTGGATTGGTGGTTTATTGGCCTTTTTACGAGAATGTCACAGTTCTAAAATACCACTGTGGCATCACCAAATAAAAAATCGACAATACCATGTATGTGACAGTATCTATAGAATTGTCGTAGTGAGTGCACTAAGAGAGGTCAGAAGCTGCAGCGATAAAAGACCGAGAGGTCAGAAGCCACCATAACTGTCATTGCCTGATGTTTATGGGGTCCTGCAGTGTTCTGAAATGTTATGCCCCTTGCCAAAAGCCATCACCAGACATTCTTGCAAGAAGAAAACTATTGTAAACATAAGTGCAACAGAGCTATCTGGGTTTTTTTTTTTTTTTTTGTCAAAGCCACCCAGTATAGGTGGAGGGTTTGACAGGATCCCTACTTGTATATATAACTAAAAGAAAAAAAGTACAAGGGAGGAGGACATAGAGCCAAGCCTCTAGAAGTGGAAGAAAGTCAAAGCAAAAGCAAGGTGGTGACTCACCACTAAAAGCATGAAATAAATAGAAAAGCAAAGTGGGGAATCCTCACGTTCGTCATTGAGTTTTATTTTAATTGATGTTTTTTGTTAGTTTGTTTTAGAAGGCCTGTTGTAACAAAGGAATAATATGGAGGACGACTTAGTTCTTCTCATTGAATTTCACTTAAGGATGTTAATTTTTGATAAGATGACATCAACCCAACATGAAATTGAAGAGTTAAGAGTTAAATAATTATAGACATGAATCTAAAAATGACACAATTCATAGGGTTGAGTTGGTGTTAAATGAGAATAACTCGATTCTAACATAAAAAACGCATTTCTTTAACCTTAGATAAAGAAAATATTTTATTTTTTATTGTTCTCAATTCTTGTTTTGGTAGAACCGAGTGGATTTTCACTTTAAGAGATCCTACATGGGGTAGATTTGGTTGAGAAAAAATAGAGCTGTAATAGTAAGTTTCAGTTCATGGGTAATATTTGTTATTCCGAACATGAATAAACATGACAAGTTAGTGTTAGGACATATGCTACCTCTAATCAAACTAATCGAATCAAGATAGACTAGTACTTGATACAAACTCGAAATTACACGATTTAAGCACTCACACTCTAGTTACACACAAAATAATCAAAGAAAGAAGAGTAGAGAAGTAAATGAGAATTTGAGATGAACCATCCTTACCAAATGTGGTTGAGCTGAAAGTTCTGGCACCATCTTGGACGTTTCTGTTACCTGTGATGACTGTCTGCCCCATACCATCACCCATAAACATCAAGTTCTTCATTCCCCTCCCAATCTCCACTTTCTCAATGTAAACCCCAGATTTCACATATACAATCACTCTCTCTGGCCTACTATTACCCATTCTAGAAACTGCTGAAACTGCCTTATTTATGGTCTTGTAGTTGCCAGAACCATCTTGAGCTACTACAAAATTAGCCTTGGAGGTTGCTGCATTCCATGATGCTAGAAGAGCCCCATTTGGGTTGGACTTTGGTCGCCTCTGTGCTCCTAAAAAAACATTAGGAGGATGGAGATATGAAGTTAGTTTGATTAAGAGTTCAAAATGAGACTCTCCTAATCCTAAAGTAACTAAAGTGATAATTTGAACGAGTTATAAACCTAAATGTCATGAGTTCGAATCTGGAAACTCCTTGGGGCTAGACCATGAAGAATTTATCCTTCATGAATACCCTGATCTCGTTGTGGATGACTTGTCTTTGATCAAACCGCAGAGAGGATTAGTCGAAATATGCATAAGTTGGTCAAGACACTCCTGATTATTGAACAAAAAAATAAGACTTTTCCCAGGGTTTGCTAATGGAGGTTTAACTATATAATCGATTTTGCAATTTTAAAACCGATATGTTATTTTGAATATGTCAGATTAGTATCAAAAATAAATAATGAGTTTTGACATGACATATATCATGTCACTAATATTGTATCAAAAAAATTATTGATTTCTTTCATTTTCTCCATGTCTTCACCTTGTGTTATATATGAATTATTGGAATTAAAGGATATTTTACTTAGTTTTTCTAGTATATGGTTGGAGTGGAGTTTTAGTTTATGAAAATATTTTGGGTGGCGGGGTTTAGTTGAGAAAAAGTAGGTCAAGCTATGTGTTTCTAGTTCGAAAGTGTCTTAACGGAAAAGGAAAAAAGTAGGTCGAGCTATGTATTTCTAGTTTGGAAGTGTGTCTCAACTTGAAAAAGACACGATTGATAAACAAGTCTAACTAATGTATTATTATCAGACACAACGACAAAAAAAAAACGTTCTGATTAATTTTGATTAATATTAGCACGAACTTGAAATAACACCATCCGACAAGACAAAGCAACTTACCCTTGCTCTTACCCCTTGGATTATCTTTGGTGCCATAAAATGCCAAAGCCTCCCTAAGCAACAGAGTCAAGTTCTGACCCTTTTGAGCTTCCACCGACCACCCCTTCTCCTTCAAGCCATCCAAACAACTCCGGTGGCTCGCCACCGCTGCACTCAACTACGTAACTGTTGGAGATAGTTAGTAATGTAAAGAATCCCACGTTGAAAAAGTTGAAAGGGAATGTAAGGGTTTAAAAGGAGAAACACACCAAAGTTTATAAATTTGGATGATGGGAAGATTTGGAGGGAAACTCAAAATATTTCAAATCAATGGANATGTAAAGAATCCCACGTTGAAAAAGTTGAAAGGGAATGTAAGGGTTTAAAAGGAGAAACACACCAAATTTTATAAATTTGGATGATGGGAAGATTTGGAGGGAAACTCCAAATATTTCAAATCAATGGGCCTTGATTAGACTTTAAATAAAATAATCTTTAAAGTCAAAAGATGGGCACTTGGGGCATCTTGGGTTTGAAACCTTTAAATGATTAATTATTTTTGTATTAATTAATTGCTAAATATCTTTTGGCCCAAAAGTTGTGTCTCCTCTTTAAATCTCTTTGGCCCAAGAGTTGTGTCTCCTTNGATTAATTATTTTTGTATTAATTAATTGCTAAATATCTTTTGGCCCAAAAGTTGTGTCTCCTCTTTAAATCTCTTTGGCCCAAGAGTTGTCACCTTACTAAATACCTANGTCTCCTCTTTAAATCTCTTTGGCCCAAGAGTTGTGTCTCCTTACTAAGGTATTATAAATACCTGTACAGATCTTTCAATTGAAGTATATACAAAAAAATATTTCTCTATTTTATTTTTGGGAGAATTTTAGAGTTTGTTATCTGAAATTTTGTTTGACTTTGTTAATCTTAGAGGAATTTACCATAAACCCAACAACAACATAGTGGGGACATAATTTCCTTAAGGATAGTAAATACACGATCAAAGTCTTCTAATTTGGTGAAATCCTATTTTGCTAACAATTTTAAGGAAATTAAACAACAATGGAGGCTACTGGTTCAAATTCTGTTTTCAAGTTCAATCCCGAAGTGTTCAAGTTGGATCGTTTTGATGGAACGAACTTCACAAGCTAGAAGGATAAATTATTTTTCTTGCTTACTGAATTGGGTGTTGCATATCTGTTAAGTGGAAATCTANAATACACGATCAAAGTCTTCTAATTTGGTGAAATCCTATTTTGCTAACAATTTTAAGGAAATTAAACAACAATGGAGGCTACTGGTTCAAATTCTGTTTTCAAGTTCAATCCCGAAGTGTTCAAGTTGGATCGTTTTGATGGAACGAACTTCACAAGCTGGAAGGATAAATTATTTTTCTTGCTTACTGAATTGGGTGTTGCATATCTGCTAAGTGGAAATATATNTGAATTGGGTGTTGCATATCTGTTAAGTGGAAATCTACCAACTATTCCTGAACCATCTGACAAAGAAGATGAAGAAACTATAGCAACCCGCAAGAAACGCATGGAGGATGAAGTTCGTTGCAGAGACTATATTCTGAATTCACTGTCTGATCGATTATACGATCTGTTTCGTTCAATCAAATCCCCATAAGAAATTTGGAGTGCCTTGAAAAATAAATATACATCTGTCAAGCAAGGTACAAACAGATTTCTCGGTATAAAATTTTTTGAATTCAAAATGTTTGATAATAAATCTGTCATGGAACAAGTAGATGAATTGTTTGTCCTAGTATCTAGACTCAAGGATTTTAAATAGAAGTGTTTGAACAACTTCAAGTGGCTGCGGTAATTACAAAATTGCCTACTACTTGGAATGATTATCAAAAGAAATTGTTGCACACTTCTGAAAATTTTACCATAGACCAACTCATGAAGCATATTCGAATAGAAGAAGAAACTCGCAGTCGTGAGAATAAAAATGCTTCAGAGTTTGGTTCTAAAGTAAACAATATTGAGTCTAATATGAAGAAATCAACAATGACTAGTAATACTTCTGGAAATAAAATGAAGTATATTGAATCTTCAAGTAATAATTTTGCCAACTTTAAGAAGAACAAGACACATTTTTTCTGTGGCAAGAATGGTCATTTCAAGAAAGAGTGCAGGTTCTATAAGAGATTGAAGACAGAGGCAAACGCTGGACAAAAGAAGGCAAATATTGTTGAACGTCCTCCAAGTTCTTCTAAAATTATAGTCATGATTGTTGAACTAAAAATCAACATGATTACAGAATGCAACATGGCAACAACTAACAAGACTATAGATTGGTGGTATGATTCTAGTGCAACAGTGCATGTTTGTAATGACAAAAAATTGTTCAAGAACTATGAAGTTGCATCAAAGGATGAAAGTGTTCTGAAGGGGAATCATGATACTGCCAAGGTGCATGGAAAATGGACTGTTGAACTATAGTTTACCTCTGAAAAGAAACTGATCTTAATGAATGTATTTCATGTTCCTGATGTGAGAAAGAATCTGATATCTGCAAGTTTGCTGTGCAAGAAGGGCTTGAAGGCTGTCTTAGAGGCAGAAAAAATTATATTTTCTAAGAATGGTGTCTTTGTTGGACAAGGGTATTCATGTGATGACATGTTTAAGTTGAGCATTAATAAAGTTGATGTTTCTGTTTATATTCTTGAATCTCCTTTTAATTTATGGCATGCTCGTTTATCACATGTTAATTATGGATCAATTAAGTATATGTCTAGGCATGGTTTAATTCCATGTACAAATGAAAATTTTGGAAAATGTGAAATATGCATACAAGCAAAATTGACTAAGAAACCTTTTTTCAAAGAATGAAAGAACAACTGAAACACTTGAACTTGTGCATTCTGATATATGTGAATTAAATGGTCATTTAACTAGAGGAGGAAATAGATATTTTATTACTTTCATTGATGATCATTCTAGGTTCACTCATGTTTATTTAATGAGAACTAAAGATCAAGCATTTGATATGTTTAAATGTTATAAAACCTTAGTTGAAAATCAATTGGAAAAGAAAATTAAAATCCTACGAAGTGATCGAGGTGGTGAATATTTTCCAATTGAATTTACTGTTTTTTGTGAAGAAAATGGTTTGATTCATCAAACGAGTGCACCTTATACTCCACAACAAAATGGTTTGGCTGAAAGAAAGAATAGAACATTGGTAGATATGATTAATGCTATGCTTATGCATGCTAAACTACCAACAAATCTATGGGCATAAGCTCTATTAACAGCTTGCCATGTGCACAATAGAATATCCTCAAAGAAAACAAAAACTTCTTCATATGAAATATGAAAAGGAAGAAGGTCAAACTTAAGCTATTTGAGAGTATAGGGTTGTATAGCCTATTATACAGTTTCAGATCCTGAAAGAACCAAATTAGGACCTAGAGCTCTTAAGAGTGTTTTTGTGGGTTATGCTGAAAATTCAAAAACATATAGATTGTTGGACATAGACTCGAATGCTATCATAGAATCTAGAGACGTTGAATTTTTAGAAACAAATTTTTTTGAAAATTCAAATGTCAATCAACAATCGAATAGAGAAAATGTTGAACCTCTAATTACACAAGACATTAATATGGATCAAAATTCTTTAAATAATAAACAGAAACGAATTGAATCTCCTAGTGAACCAAGGAGAAGTCAAAGGGTAAGAAAAGATAAGAACTTGGATTCTGATTTTATTTCTTCAGAAGCAATAATCTTCTTAGTTGAAGGAAGTAGAGATGAGATTTTAAATAAAATACCCATTGTTATGCATTTGGAAGAAGATCCTAAAACTTATAGTGATGCAATGACATCAAGAGAATCCAATTTTTGGAAGGAAGCAATAAATGATGAAATGGATTCACTTATATCCAATGGAACATGGGTATTGGTTGACTTACCACCTAGTTGCAAACCAATCGGATGTAAATGGGTGTTTAGGAGAAAATATAATACTAATGGTTCTCTACAAACCTTCAAAGCAAGACTAGTGGCAAAAGGTTTTAGACAAAAAGAAGGAGTTGATTATTTTGACACATATGCTCCGGTGGCAAGAATTACTTCAATAAGAGTGTTGTTTACTTTAGCATCAATATATGATTTATACATCCATCAAATGAATGTTAAAACAATATTATTAAATGGTGATCTTGATGAAGAAGTATATATGGAACAACCTGAAGGATTTGTACTTCCTGTTAATGAAAAGAAAGTTTGCAAATTGGTGAAATCCTTGTATGGATTAAAACAAGCTCGTAAACAGTGGCATGAGAAATTTGATAGTGTCATATTATCTTATGATTTTAATCATAATGGAGCAGATAGATACGTTTACTCCAAGTTTACTAAAGACTATGGTGTAATAGTTTGTCTCTATGTTGATGACATATTAATCATAGGAACCAATTTGAAAGGAGTAAATGATACCAAGAGATACTTGACTTCTCAATTTAAAATGAAAGATTTGGAAGAAGTCTATACTATCTTAGGGATTAAAGTTAAGAAACATAGTGGGGGTTTTACTTTGTGCCAATCTCATTACATTGATAAGATTCTCTCCAAATTTAACCACTTGGGAATTAAAGAAGCTAATACCCCATTTGATGTTTCTAACAAATTGGCAGAAAATTCGGGTAGATCCATTAGTCAATTAGACTATGCAAGTGCAATTGGTAGTTTAATGTATGCTATGCATTGTACTAGACCTGATATTGCCTTTTCTGTATGCAAACTTTCAAAATATATAAGTAATCCTAGTACCGAACATTGGAGGGCTATTAGAAGAGTTTTCAGTTATCTTAAAAGGACAAAGTCATTTGCCTTGTTTTATAACAAATTTCCGTCGGTACTAGAAGACTATACTGACNATGCTATGCATTGTACTAGACCTGATATTGCCTTTTCTGTATGCAAACTTTCAAAATATATAAGTAATCCTAGTACCGAACATTGGAGGGCTATTAGAAGAGTTTTCAGTTATCTTAAAAGGATAAAGTCATTTGCCTTGTTTTATAACAAATTTCCTTCGGTACTAGAAGACTATACTGATGCTAGTTGGATAACCAGTATCAATGATAACAAATCAACATCTGGTTGGATTTTCACTTTAGGTGGAGGAGCTATATCATGGGCTTCCAAGAAACAGAAGTGTATTACTCATTCCACAATGGAATCTGAATTTATTGCATTGGCAGCGACAGGTAAAGAGGTGGAATGGCTGAGAAATTTATTGTTGGATATAAAGTTGTGGCCACAACCAATGCCAGCAGTCTCTTTGCACTATGATAGTCAAGCAACTATGTCTAGGGCTTTTAGCAAGATTTATAATGGTAAATCTAGACATATTGCTTTAAGACATGAATATATTAGACAACTACTTTCTGATGGTATAATCACAGTTGTCTATGTCTGGTCTGATAAAAATCTGGCTAATCCATTAACTAAAGGACTCTCGAGAGATATGATTAAAAGTACTACGAGTGCAATGGGTCTTAAACAATTCTAAATTTGTCACTAATAATGGAAACCCTACCTTTCTTGTTGCTTAACAATTTTAAAGGTTTAAGTGGTAATAACAAGTTATTAGTGATTGTTAACAAGCACAAGGTTTTATACATAGTGCTTATGGAAAAGGAGGTTGAATATTAATTATTCTTAATGAAGAATTTGTGTACGGTTTTATGAACAAGAAAGTTCAAACTTTGAAACTTTAACAGCTCTTCACCTATATGAACACAAGAAGTGGTGTCGCTTCTATCAAAAGTTTGAAAATAAAACTTTTGTAAGTGTTCATGAAACTAGGAGGTAGCACAAGACCATAATATGGTGCTAAAGCTCACGGTGAACATATTTAGAGAAACTTGTAAGTTTATGTGTATGACATTTTCGATCTTGTTCTATAAAATCAAGATTTAATAAATTTAAATAACCATTGATTTTGACAAGATTTTGAAATGTTTATACTAATAGCAAGTTTAAGTCGAAAGACACCATTTATATGCATAGACTTCAGTTAATTTTGATTACTTATATTACTATCTAAGTGGGAGATTGTTAGAGATAATTAGTAATGTAAAGAATCCCACATTAGAAAAGTTGAAAGGGAATGTAAGGGTTTAAAAGGAGAAACACGCCAAATTTTATAAATTTGGATGATGGAAAGATTTGGAGAGAAGATCCAAATATTTCAAATCTGTAACACCCCAAAACACATNGGGAATGTAAGGGTTTAAAAGGAGAAACACACCAAATTTTATAAATTTGGATGATGGAAAGATTTGGAGAGAAGATCCAAATATTTCAAATCTGTAACACCGCAAAACACACCCTAAACAACATTACATTCTAAAACCATTCATATCATGAGAGTACTAATATAATCCCTTAAGAAATCAGACTTTATTTGTCATCCACGAATATTTACAATATTATCCAAAAGAATAAGCTCAAGTCATGGCTATTACATCTTAGAAATTAATTAAAGAAGTGCAACGGAATAAAGAAAAGGAGCTAGACTACACAATGTTACAAAAGAATGTCCTAGTCTAGTATAAAGGAAAGAAGGTCGCTATATGCGTCCACCTTGGGATCCACACTTCCGTCCAGTGGAGTCTCCCAAGTAGCGGGCTCCTCGACCCTTACGTCCTCCTCTTCAAGCGGATAATCTGAAAAATGTTAGTGATAGGGGGTGAGCACGAAGCTCTGTAGAAAAATTCTCCCAAACTCATAAAAGGTTTAAAAAAATATTTAAAATGGTCGGTCTCAATTTTTAATTTAACATAGATATNCATAGATACATAATTTGAAAAAAATCAGTGACATTTAAAAAGGATCTCAAGTTTATTTAAAAATATTACTTAAATGAATGAATGATCACCACATACAAATAATAACCATTAATTTCCATAACCAATTCTCAACAATTCTTTCGGTAGGTGACATACTTTGTGGTAACCTCCACCCCCCTTTAGGTCACATTTGATTCTCAAGCATCTATACCGGGAACCTCTTGAGAATGAATAAGCATCCTTACATGGAACCTCTCACCAATCACTACATTGTTTCCCAAGCATCCTTACCGGGAACTTCTCGGGAAGGGGTGAACATCCTTACATGGAACCTCTCACTTATGTGCATCACAAACAACCCAACTAAGCATACAATTCCAACATTTATCTCAATTTACAAGCATCTATCCAAAATCCCCAAAATATATTATGTAACAATTCCATAATCAACTCAGAAAATACATGAGATCACAATAACATCATTTTTCTACCCAACACAAAGCACTAAGATTTCGAAATTCATAATAAAGAAAGCATTTAGGAAGAAAATATATCACTCTCCAAAAATTAGGATTTTAAAATTAGAAAGGAGATTTCATGGGTATTAAACCTTACTTTGTTCAAAACATGTAATTCTTGCAAAAAGTCTAAGAGAGGATAATTTCATAGCATATATATATATCATTGATAGTCAAAACATACATATATAAATACCCTAGCCTCAATGTAAGTGAATGAGAGAAAACCCCTACTTTGAATCCTTAGTTTGTAGGAAGAACTTGAACTTTGATCTTAAATCTACTCTTAAATCTCTTGTTTTTCTCTTCCTTTCTTCCTCTTTAATGCTCTCTAGGGTTTCAAAAGGTGTGGGGTCAGAGTGGAGTGAAAGAAATGAGGGAAAATGGGATGAAAATGGAGTTTAAAACACTTCAGCCCCGAAATTCACTGTTCATAGCCTGTTTTAGTTTTCTCCAAAATTACGGTTTTACCACCAAGAATCTCCAATTTGATCCATATGACTACCCTAAGGTTTTTCGACGTTCCGAATTTATTTTTAATGTTATTTTAACCTAAAAACATTTATTTTTATGATTTATCTCAAAATCAAAGTTAACGTACACCCGAAACACTAAAATTTCTATTTTACCCATCCGAATCGGCTATTAATGAAGTTTTGCATTGTTTGCAAATAAAAGGTAATTCTTAAAGCCTTTATACTTATTTGAACCCTAAATATACTCATTATTCTTATATTTTGATTTAGGATGCAAATGGAGACGTTAAATGCAAAACGAAGCTAATTGGACTATTTTGGCATCACTTCATTATCTGGGCATAACTCTCTCATCCGAGCTCCGATTGAGNGATGGGGAGAGAATCTTATAGAGGATTATGTGCTGGTGGCCTTTTAGGAGGTCTGTTAAATTAGGAGAATAATGATGGATCCTATTTATATTACATCTAAATTGTATTAAATAAATTTAATCAATTTATACCAATTTATTTATAATTGTGTAGAATTGAGTCATATCAGAAATGTGTCATATTCAGGCAAATATATGTCAAAATATTAATTATTGACCTGAATCCTAATTTAAAATCCAATGGGATTTACCTCAGATTTGCGAGTCGTGTATAGAGTTAGGAAAGGTTATTCTATTGTGGGTATAGTGGTATTGTATCAAAAATTATAATTATTTATAGTCAAAGTATAATTTTTTGAGGTGTAAATTATAATTTGCACAGACACGATCAATCCTAAAATACTGCGATTGATCATGAATGTTATAATTTTTGAAAGTTGAGTTATAATTTTTAAAGATCGAGTTACAATTGGTTGAGGAAGTCCCACGATCGTTCATGAGGTTATCATTCAACGATGTCATCTTGCCATTAAAAATAATAATTTATGGAATGGTACAAAATTTTTTCCGGTATAATAGACTTTCTCCCAAGTCTATTTATTTAACGGTTCAATGCGTTATGGAACGTATGACCAAATTACTTTATTTATTTTTTTGTACTTTTGACATTTAAATTACAGTTGTAGCCTCCTTATCCATGACATTCGTAGGGATGAGGACATGCAAGCTTGTGCATTCCACTAAAGGAAAAGAGAACACAAAAATTGCCATGGATGTAGATAGCCAAGGACATTACTTATTACCTAACTAAACTTTCATCACTACGAGATCCGGATGAAGTATACATAGGCAGTCTTATTATTCCATATGCAAAAAGATACTTTTCGTGATTCAAACTCATTAATTTTCAAATTATAATAAAAAAAACCCAATCGCTATGCTAAAATTTACCCAATTGCCACCAATAAGCATTGAACAAAATAGTAAAGAACATGTTTATATGTAATCGATTCTCGATATATGATGGGAACAACACAAATTTTACAAAATAAAGTATGGGAACATATGAAGATGGGTGGTTAAAGGAGTGATTAGATAAGTCAAAAGTATTTACCATGTAATAAGAATGGGATGTAAGAAACTATAAAAAAGGAGTTTTATTACAAGACACTCAACAGGCTTGTATAGTGAAACAAACTATTACTTGCATATATTAAACAATTAATCATTTATTCCGTACATATTTGGCACATGTTGAACACTTTCGACTTGTCTAATCACTTTTTTTCACATATACTTTGTTAATGTATTCAAAAAAAACAAAAACTACTTAAAAAATGTTTCAAGTAGTACCTAACTTCTATAAAAACTTTGTTGTTGTAGGTAACAATTAGGGTATGGAGTGTTGGTGCATTGATAGGATAGTCATAGATCTAGAGAGGGACATGTTGAGGATTCCACTAAAAAGATGCAAAAAGCTCATAATCATCAATAAAATGGAACTTTACATGTGGTTGGGGGCTTTGGGCATCAATGATATGTGTTAACTTTAAAGTTATGAATGCAAGTGGGTGTTTTTTTTATTCAACGGTCAGAGTTGTTTGGATCAACTTATGCGTACTTCAACTAATCCCTTCCTCGATTTGGTCAAAAGCACACCATCCATGTTGAGATTAGGATATTCGTAAGGGATAACTTTTTCTTGATTTGGTCTCAAATGATTGTCAAAATTTAAACTCAGGATATCTAAATTTACAATTGTCTTTATTATCATTTGAACTACTCCTTAGAGTTAATGCTAATAGTTTTTTAAGCATCTATTATGGTGGCCTTACATTTATAAAGCCAATAGTCCAAGAAAGGTGTAAATTAGTGTGATTGCACCATAAGTTCATGAATGTGAATATCATCACTCTCATGCATGCCAATTTTTAGGTTGTATCAAGGACAATGAAATTTTTGCTAGATTCTAATTCCAATAAAATGCAGAATGGAAAGGTTTATTACGAGTGAAATATTATTGTTTTCGATGACATGAATAATTCAAATTTGCTATCCATCCCATTGATGTTTATAGAAAAATGGGTGTATTGGTTGTCAATTTGGGTCATTCTTATTGCGTCGAAAATTTAGTAGTCACAACACTCCATGGACTAACCTCATGCGATATAACTTTGTCACACTAAGAACTGGTCAAATGATTAAAAATCATGTGCCATGAGGTGACTTAATCTTTGTATATTTATGGTTTCGAATGTTATCACCCAATTTGATTTTCGTTAATCGAGTTTGCATCCTAATAAAGGGATGGACTCGAAACAAATGTAAAATTTAATATCATTTCCTACACTAGACGAGATCCTTCTTGGCATCAATCGTGGCAGATATCCTAACGAATACTAAAATATTATAATTGTTACAATTGGCAACATACTCTCATTATTGTTTCACTCATCTAATTTCTTCTTTTGTTTTTACTAATATGGAAAACACAGTGGGTAGAAAGAATCATACAATCATATATGATCAGAAGGCGGCCAGGTACTGTTGATGTGCGCATGAAGGTGAGTCAGGATCAGTTTTCGCTGCCTGTTCTGCGAACTGGATCTGCTCTGGTCTCCGATGATCATGGATAGATGTTGCTTTTGGGGCTGGTTCTGGAAGGTGGTTAGGTGGTCTAATGAAGATTGGAGTACTGAACAGTGTTTCTGACTTGCACTGTTCAGGTAATTGGTGTATGCTGAGACGGCCTGGGCAGTGGGGGTCTGATCAGATATACTTCTGCATTTTGTCTGGGCGGGTACATTGCTGGTCTGTACTAAGCATTTTTTCAAAAAATGTAAGTAGAAATGGTTTAATCCATCTTGCAGAATTAAAGCCATTTTTATATTTTTTCAGAACGTTTTGTTCTTTGGTTGTTGTCGATCTTTCTTTTTGGAAATAAAATTTCTCCTTTCCTAAAATTANTGTAAGTAGAAATGGTTTAATCCATCTTGCAGAATTAAAGCCATTTTTATATTTTTTTAGAACGTTTTGTTCTTTGGTTGTTGTCGATCTTTCTTTTTGGAAATAAAATTTCTCCTTTCCTAAAATAAAAAAAAAAATCATATATGATCAGAAAAAGGTGTGTTGATGGGAACTACTTGGGGGGTTCTGCAAGCCAGTAAACTAGGTTAGGACTTAGGAGAGGGTCAGGAGAGTTTTCGGGCCACTTGAATGGGTAAGTTATAAGAAAGCTCTAAATCAAATGTGTTGGGCTTAATGAGAATTTCCTCGCATATAGAGTCCTTTCAAGTACATTTTTCTCGAAATTCTGTAATGGACTTTTGACTAGACATTCTACATTCATTGGAATAAAATTAAAAATAAAAATTTAATTTTTTTAAAAAAAATCATAATTAATATACAATTATATTATCTATTAAAATAAAACTAAAAAATAAACAAGTGGTCAATTTATATTGGATATAATATTTTCTGATTTTAATTGAANTTAATATACAATTATATTATCTATTAAAATAAAACTAAAAAATAAACAAGTGGTCAAATTATATTGGATATAATATTTTCTAATTTTAATTGACATAATTTGATAGTTTAATTTGGTCGTTTAAACGATTAAATTAAATTTTAATAGATAATATAATTGTATACTAATTATGATTTTTTTTTTAAAAATTACATTTTTATTTTTGATTTTATTTCAATAAATGTCAGAATATAGNGTTTAATTTGGTCGTTTAAACGATTAAATTAAATTTTAATAGATAATATAATTGTATACTAATTATGATTTTTTTTAAAAAAATTACATTTTTATTTTTGATTTTATTTCAATAAATGTCAGAATATAGCATGAATTTTGGTTGTAAAAATTAAAATGTTTGATATTCTATTTTTTATTGGAGCATTTTTGATCTAAATATAATATTTTAGATTTAAAGGGTCTAAATATTATACGCCTACAAACTTTAAAGGGTCTAGGTGTAATTTATTAATGGACATTGACCGCAGGGGTTTAAGTGTTTTGGGGTTTATGTATAATATATTAAATGTCAGGTGTCTAAGTGATTAAATGACAAACTTTAGAGNATTTTAGATTTAAAGGGTCTAAATATTATACGCCTACAAACTTTAAAGGGTCTAGGTATAATTTATTAATGGACATTGACCGCAGGGGTTTAAGTGTTTTGGGGTTTATGTATAATATATTAAATGTCAGGGGTCTAAGTGATTAAATGACAAACCTTAGATGGTTGAGTGTAATTCTCCCTATACTTTACACTTAATGCATTAGCAACTAAATATTTTGTTTGATATGTATTGGTATTTTATTATACTTGCACAGAATAAAAAGTTGTAAAAAGCTTAAATTTTGAAAAATTGATAGTTTTTTTACAACCTTCGATCTTATGCTTGATTAAGAAATTTTGTTGATTCTATTATCACCTCAATTATCAAAAATATACGAAATGACTTAATTGAGAAAAAATTTATACTTGAGGNTATTATACTTGCACAGAATAAAAAGTTGTAAAAAGCTTAAATTTTGAAAAATTGATAGGTTTTTTACAACCTTCGATCTTATGCTTGATTAAGAAATTTTGTTGATTCTATTATCACCTCAATTATCAAAAATATACGAATGACTTAATTGAGAAAAAATTTATACTTGAGGGACTAAATTAGAACAATTAAAAGTTTAAAAACCAAATAAAGATCGAAAATAAAATTTAAGAACCAATTATGATATTTACCCTTGATTTTTTGCTAGGAATACAATCTATATGTAAATAATAGTGATGATGTGAAAGCCTGATCTCTCTTCCCCAGATATAAACTGGAAAGAAAAGCAACCTTTTGAAATAGTCAAAGCTAATGGGCCTTTTGGAAAAGATGACTCCTTTAATCAGCATTAACAAACATTACTTAGATTCCTTAAGTACATGTACGTAATATGCTTAATTAAATTGTCAACTCCTAGTTATCCAATTAAGATGTCAGTCATGAGGAGATCAATCCCACTTGAGCCACTATTTTAATTACCAAAGTGGAGTTGTTAGTTTATTAATATGGAATGATCATAGGGTTATTTGTCTTTTGATTAATATGAAAAAAAATGAAAAGAAAAGATTGGGAAAAAAAAAAAAAGCTTGACCTAAGCAAATCAAATAAGACTTCCTCCATGAACTCCTGTATTTTTTGTCTCAATAATGCTAAATAATTTAAATCAAATTTAAAAAGTTGTAACTCAAATGTATATCATTTCTTGGATGAGTGAGCCATATTAATTTTTTCAGTGGAATCCACTCATCCAAGACATAATATACATTTAGATTTCATTTAAATTGTGTAACATTTTTCTTTTTTGTAAACTTGTCTAACTTTTTGATGACGACAATTAATTAGATAATTTTTTTCTACTTTTATGGTGGTCCCACCCTCGAGAAAAAATATTATATAATTCAAATGAAACATTAAAAATTGTAACTCGAATGCATATTATCCCTTGAAAGAGCGTTGGATAAGTGAGTTCTAGTGAAAAAGTTAATAAAACTCAATCATTTAAGGAATAATATACATTTGAGTTGTAATTTTTAAAGTTTCATTTGGCCTGTGTTACATTACTTCCCTTTCCTCCGCCACCATTTTTTCTTCTCTTCCACAACTCCATTTTTGTACATTGCAAACTAGCATGAAAATAAGGAACCAATTTGGGAGAAAAAAAATGATAACATTAATAGGTTTTTAATTCTAGACACGATTTGTGTATTCACAATCAATTAGTGGGTATGACTTTAGTTTCATTAGTTCAAATGATGAATTTCTAAATCCGAGCATACCTTGACAAATTTGTGCAATCACAATTTTTAGAATTAGGGGTAAGCAAACAAAGGTGAGAGAAAAGAGTGTTCACAATTTTTAGTGTTCTCTCCAAAAGAAATATCTAATTCTCATTTTTAGTGTTCAATGACCATTGAATAAATGGCAAGTTCTAACGTTAAATGATATTCACTACCAAGTAAATGTCATAATACATTGAGTCTTTGAATTAGACATAAACAAAATTGGATTGTACACACACACACATATATATATATATATATATATGAGTGATGTCATTAGCAAGACATGCATTGAGATCACCATGACAAGGACATCAATGAACAAAAGAACAGGTCATTGTTTTTCCCAACTCAAAACACAGGTTGTGTTGGAAGTCAAAGCACAAACTTTCTGTGTTATTTCTGAAAAACTCTGGTGGTGTATTTGGAATCATGATTGAGACTAAATTTTTTTGGTCTGTATTTGAATTATTCAAGCTGTTTTCAATAAATCAGACAACTTGCTTTTCACTCTTTTTATAAGAATTATAGCTGTTCTGGACTTAATCTTAAGATCATGGGGATAGCTAGCTGTTTCATATTTAATAAATATTAATAACAGATGCTATCTAAGTCATAAATCTGAAGGCCATTAAGGAGCCAAGTATTTGACTATAGATCACACTCAACATTGTCCATTTTTTGCTTTGTTAAAATAAAGCTTATTGCAACCTTAAGATCGACTCGTCTTGATAACATGAATGAATTATAAATCTAAATATTCTGAATTTGAATTTTGGTAATTTCTTAGAATCAGGTTATGAGCGATTTATCTCTCATGAATAATTTAGTTTCGGCATGAACAGTTTACCATTAACCAGACCGTAGAAAAGATTAATCGAAATACGTGTAAGTTGACTTGAATATCCTTAACCGTTGAACTAAAAATAATAATAATAAAAAATAAAGCTTATCACAAAAAATGTTAGTGAAGTAAATTCCAACTCTCCAAGTATGACGCCAATGAGACTCACAATTGGAGACATGACACAAAATCAACATAGAATTAATGAGATCAAGTTTAATTTTAACGGACGTAAAATAGTAAATAATTGAACCCGTCAACCCCACTTAATCAATAGATTGATATGAATTCAATACCTGCCCAGCGCCAACGTGGTCTCACACCATGATTCATTCATTAATTCCTTGCATTTGTGAATAAGTCATAACGCGTTTCATGCGTCCTTTTAGTACTTCAATCTCAAGTCAACATTCCCAAAAATAAACAAACGAATAAGTAGCTGTTTCATTGGTAGATTTTTTTTTTTTAATAAATATTATCATATACATATTCCTTTGAGAACAGTAGAATATATCATCTTGATGGCTCTTCTTAAAAAAAAAAAAAGAGTAAATTACACAAATAATCTTTAAACTATGACCCTTGTATCAATTGAGGTTCTGAACTAATTTGTGTCAATTGAACCTCTAAACTCTAAAATTTTAGGTATTAAGTCATTCTGTCAGCAGTCGTCAAATTTTTAGACAGAATGTGTCATGTGCTCATCACGTGGACAAAACATTTGGAGTATTTCAGAGTCTTCATTCAAAAAGTCTACATTTATTTAATCTATTTTCTACACCAGATTGAATAGCTTGTTGATCTGCTTCGTTTAAGGGGTATAAAAGAGGTTTAAGTTTAGGGTTTTAACTGACGTGTGAAAGAAATGAAGTTTCTTCGTCTGATAGGTTTCAAATGAATAATTTAAAATACCTCTAATTTATTATTCATGTGGTGAGCACATCAGACATTTTCTCTGAAAGCCTAACGGCTGCTGATGATATAAGGACTTAATTGCTAAAATTTTAAAGTTTAGAGGCTTAATTGACTTAAAAATTAGTTCAAAGGCTTAATTGTTAAAATTTTAAATTTAAGTGCTCAATTTACACGAAACATAATTCTAAGGGTTCAATTGACACAAATATCATAGTTTAAGAGTTTGTGTAATTTACTCAAAAAAAAAAATACCACAAGAAAGAACTATTTGAAAGTGGTGTATCCCCATCACCATTACAATTGTCTTAGACATGGCTTTGTTTCTCTTCTATATAATGGTACTAATTGAAGCATTAACCCCCACTCAAACCTCAAGCTCTCAAAAAACCCTAGCCTTTTAGCTCATTGCCACCCATTTTCTCTCTCCAATTCTTGCCACAATCAATATGCTACCAATGGTTCTTCAACTGTTTTTAGCTCTTCTCTCTCTGTCCTTCTTTGTTTCTGCGGCAGTTTGCCGGATTCCGCCGACTCCGGCCAACATAAAATCATGGTGCAGTAAGACACCACACCCAAAGCCCTGTGAGTTCTTCCTTACCCATAACCCTAAATATGGCCTTCCAATCAAGCAAAAATCTGATTTTCTCAAGGTTTCCAAGCAATTAGCCCTAGACCGGGCCATGCATGCTCAGTCTCACACTTATAGTCTTGGCTCAAAGTGTCGTAATGAGCGTGAAAAGGCTGCATGGGCTGATTGCCTCGAGCTTTACGAATCGACCATAGAAAAGCTCAACAAAACAATGGATCCCAAGACTAAATGTAGCCAGACTGATGTCCAAACATGGCTCAGCACGGCTTTAACCAACCTCGAGACGTGCCGAACCGGGTTCATGGACCTCGGTGTTACAGACTATGTAATGCCCTTAATGTCAAACAATGTCTCAGCTTTGATAAGCAACACTTTGGCCATTAACAAAGGGAAAAATGGGAATGGTGTGCCGAGTTACAAAGAAAAGTTTCCGAGTTGGGTCTCGCCCGGTGACCGGAAACTGTTGCAGTCTCGGTCTCCGGCAACTCGGGCCAACATTGTGGTGGCCCAAGATGGATCGGGGAACTATAAGACGATAACTCAAGCCGTCGCTGCGGCCAAAAAAAGGAAGGGCAGTGGGAGGTTTGTGATATATGTGAAGGCAGGGACTTACAAGGAGAATGTTGATTTTGGAAGCATGAAGAACATCATGTTGACCGGTGATGGCATCGGAAAGACTATAATCACCGGCAGCAGAAGTGTTGACGGTGGTTCTACCACTTACAAGTCTGCCACCGTTGGTAAGTGAAACAAAAATGCTCTTTTTCTTATGTTCATTGTCTTTTTTTTTTTTTGCAATGCCATAGGATTTTTATTTGAGAATCTAATTTTGGGACCTAATGATGTGACTTTAATATAATTATTGGATCAGTTATAAGTTTCAATGTTAAATGGAGCTCACAACCAATTCAATGATTATATTGAATTAGGTCTCTAGATTAAGTCCCCAAATTAGGTCCAAATAACTTTTTTTTTTTAATTGTCTAAGCCATGCATTCTTTAGATCCGTGACCAGCATACAAATTATGATTTTGGGACTGTAGGTGGTGGGGAGGATTAGACAAATGTCTAATTAAGAGACTTAAATACCACTACAACAAATAAAGTTTTCATTGAAGAAAATTTTCTCAGAGAACATAAAAAATATCCTCGGTAAAAGTTATCAGTGAACTCTAAGAGTTAATTTAAGTGGTAATAAAGACGAGTTATAAATTCATACGTCTTGAATTCAAATTTTGATAATTTTTTAAAGTTAAATTATGAGGGATTTGTCTCTCACTAATACCCTAGTTTCAGCATGGATGACCTACTTTTGATCATAACATGAAAAGAATTAGTTGAAGTACGCATAAACTGATCTAAACATCTCTAACCATTGACTTAAAAAAAAAAAAAGTTATCAGTGAAGTTTTACTGAGGGAAAATTTCATAGGTAATTCCCTCTTTTTTGTGGCTAAAATATGAACCTTTGTCCTGGGCAATATTTTCGTCAATATACCTTCTAGTTAGCAAAATGAAACGAATTGGTCCACTTTTCCTAAGGCACAGAGCTATTTTAGATATTAAAAACCACACATGTGCACTTACAGAACACGAAAAGGAAATTAAAATTTGGTTAAGAACGGGAATGATATAGTTGACTTCATCTGGTCAAAGCTGAGGATTTATATAAAATTTTGAATGCTGCTCAAAGAAATAAAATAAAGCATTATAGAGGGACAAGTCTGTCCTTCATAGGACGTCCTTGGCCCCGAAGGGTTCCCTTGGTTTGAAAGATCAGCAATTTTATTTAGACATAATTTAATAGCCAAATTTATTAAATGATCATTCATAGTTATAAAGTTGACGGTGGACCCCTAATTTTTGTTTAGATCCACAATCAATTTAATGGTCATAATGATTTATATCAATAAATTAAATCAAAATAACATTATTGTTAAAATATTAGTTAAAACTTCCTATGGTCAAGTAATAAGGAATTTATCCCTATGAATATTTTAGTACTAACGTGAATAACCTACATTTGACCGGACAGAAGAGAAGATTAATTAAGGTGCACCCTAGACACTCCTCACTGTTGACAAAAAAAAAAAAAAAAAAAAAAGTTANTATATATATATATATATATGAGTGATGTCATTAGCAAGACATGCATTGAGATCACCATGACAAGGACATCAATGAACAAAAGAACAGGTCATTGTTTTTCCCAACTCAAAACACAGGTTGTGTTGGAAGTCAAAGCACAAACTTTCTGTGTTATTTCTGAAAAACTCTGGTGGTGTATTTGGAATCATGATTGAGACTAAATTTTTTTGGTCTGTATTTGAATTATTCAAGCTGTTTTCAATAAATCAGACAACTTGCTTTTCACTCTTTTTATAAGAATTATAGCTGTTCTGGACTTAATCTTAAGATCATGGGGATAGCTAGCTGTTTCATATTTAATAAATATTAATAACAGATGCTATCTAAGTCATAAATCTGAAGGCCATTAAGGAGCCAAGTATTTGACTATAGATCACACTCAACATTGTCCATTTTTTGCTTTGTTAAAATAAAGCTTATTGCAACCTTAAGATCGACTCGTCTTGATAACATGAATGAATTATAAATCTAAATATTCTGAATTTGAATTTTGGTAATTTCTTAGAATCAGGTTATGAGCGATTTATCTCTCATGAATAATTTAGTTTCGGCATGAACAGTTTACCATTAACCAGACCGTAGAAAAGATTAATCGAAATACGTGTAAGTTGACTTGAATATCCTTAACCGTTGAACTAAAAATAATAATAATAAAAAATAAAGCTTATCACAAAAAATGTTAGTGAAGTAAATTCCAACTCTCCAAGTATGACGCCAATGAGACTCACAATTGGAGACATGACACAAAATCAACATAGAATTAATGAGATCAAGTTTAATTTTAACGGACGTAAAATAGTAAATAATTGAACCCGTCAACCCCACTTAATCAATAGATTGATATGAATTCAATACCTGCCCAGCGCCAACGTGGTCTCACACCATGATTCATTCATTAATTCCTTGCATTTGTGAATAAGTCATAACGCGTTTCATGCGTCCTTTTAGTACTTCAATCTCAAGTCAACATTCCCAAAAATAAACAAACGAATAAGTAGCTGTTTCATTGGTAGATTTTTTTTTTTTAATAAATATTATCATATACATATTCCTTTGAGAACAGTAGAATATATCATCTTGATGGCTCTTCTTAAAAAAAAAAAAAGAGTAAATTACACAAATAATCTTTAAACTATGACCCTTGTATCAATTGAGGTTCTGAACTAATTTGTGTCAATTGAACCTCTAAACTCTAAAATTTTAGGTATTAAGTCATTCTGTCAGCAGTCGTCAAATTTTTAGACAGAATGTGTCATGTGCTCATCACGTGGACAAAACATTTGGAGTATTTCAGAGTCTTCATTCAAAAAGTCTACATTTATTTAATCTATTTTCTACACCAGATTGAATAGCTTGTTGATCTGCTTCGTTTAAGGGGTATAAAAGAGGTTTAAGTTTAGGGTTTTAACTGACGTGTGAAAGAAATGAAGTTTCTTCGTCTGATAGGTTTCAAATGAATAATTTAAAATACCTCTAATTTATTATTCATGTGGTGAGCACATCAGACATTTTCTCTGAAAGCCTAACGGCTGCTGATGATATAAGGACTTAATTGCTAAAATTTTAAAGTTTAGAGGCTTAATTGACTTAAAAATTAGTTCAAAGGCTTAATTGTTAAAATTTTAAATTTAAGTGCTCAATTTACACGAAACATAATTCTAAGGGTTCAATTGACACAAATATCATAGTTTAAGAGTTTGTGTAATTTACTCAAAAAAAAAAATACCACAAGAAAGAACTATTTGAAAGTGGTGTATCCCCATCACCATTACAATTGTCTTAGACATGGCTTTGTTTCTCTTCTATATAATGGTACTAATTGAAGCATTAACCCCCACTCAAACCTCAAGCTCTCAAAAAACCCTAGCCTTTTAGCTCATTGCCACCCATTTTCTCTCTCCAATTCTTGCCACAATCAATATGCTACCAATGGTTCTTCAACTGTTTTTAGCTCTTCTCTCTCTGTCCTTCTTTGTTTCTGCGGCAGTTTGCCGGATTCCGCCGACTCCGGCCAACATAAAATCATGGTGCAGTAAGACACCACACCCAAAGCCCTGTGAGTTCTTCCTTACCCATAACCCTAAATATGGCCTTCCAATCAAGCAAAAATCTGATTTTCTCAAGGTTTCCAAGCAATTAGCCCTAGACCGGGCCATGCATGCTCAGTCTCACACTTATAGTCTTGGCTCAAAGTGTCGTAATGAGCGTGAAAAGGCTGCATGGGCTGATTGCCTCGAGCTTTACGAATCGACCATAGAAAAGCTCAACAAAACAATGGATCCCAAGACTAAATGTAGCCAGACTGATGTCCAAACATGGCTCAGCACGGCTTTAACCAACCTCGAGACGTGCCGAACCGGGTTCATGGACCTCGGTGTTACAGACTATGTAATGCCCTTAATGTCAAACAATGTCTCAGCTTTGATAAGCAACACTTTGGCCATTAACAAAGGGAAAAATGGGAATGGTGTGCCGAGTTACAAAGAAAAGTTTCCGAGTTGGGTCTCGCCCGGTGACCGGAAACTGTTGCAGTCTCGGTCTCCGGCAACTCGGGCCAACATTGTGGTGGCCCAAGATGGATCGGGGAACTATAAGACGATAACTCAAGCCGTCGCTGCGGCCAAAAAAAGGAAGGGCAGTGGGAGGTTTGTGATATATGTGAAGGCAGGGACTTACAAGGAGAATGTTGATTTTGGAAGCATGAAGAACATCATGTTGACCGGTGATGGCATCGGAAAGACTATAATCACCGGCAGCAGAAGTGTTGACGGTGGTTCTACCACTTACAAGTCTGCCACCGTTGGTAAGTGAAACAAAAATGCTCTTTTTCTTATGTTCATTGTCTTTTTTTTTTTTTGCAATGCCATAGGATTTTTATTTGAGAATCTAATTTTGGGACCTAATGATGTGACTTTAATATAATTATTGGATCAGTTATAAGTTTCAATGTTAAATGGAGCTCACAACCAATTCAATGATTATATTGAATTAGGTCTCTAGATTAAGTCCCCAAATTAGGTCCAAATAACTTTTTTTTTTTAATTGTCTAAGCCATGCATTCTTTAGATCCGTGACCAGCATACAAATTATGATTTTGGGACTGTAGGTGGTGGGGAGGATTAGACAAATGTCTAATTAAGAGACTTAAATACCACTACAACAAATAAAGTTTTCATTGAAGAAAATTTTCTCAGAGAACATAAAAAATATCCTCGGTAAAAGTTATCAGTGAACTCTAAGAGTTAATTTAAGTGGTAATAAAGACGAGTTATAAATTCATACGTCTTGAATTCAAATTTTGATAATTTTTTAAAGTTAAATTATGAGGGATTTGTCTCTCACTAATACCCTAGTTTCAGCATGGATGACCTACTTTTGATCATAACATGAAAAGAATTAGTTGAAGTACGCATAAACTGATCTAAACATCTCTAACCATTGACTTAAAAAAAAAAAAAGTTATCAGTGTTTTACTGAGGGAAAATTTCATAGGTAATTCCCTCTTTTTTGTGGCTAAAATATGAACCTTTGTCCTGGGCAATATTTTCGTCAATATACCTTCTAGTTAGCAAAATGAAACGAATTGGTCCACTTTTCCTAAGGCACAGAGCTATTTTAGATATTAAAAACCACACATGTGCACTTACAGAACACGAAAAGGAAATTAAAATTTGGTTAAGAACGGGAATGATATAGTTGACTTCATCTGGTCAAAGCTGAGGATTTATATAAAATTTTGAATGCTGCTCAAAGAAATAAAATAAAGCATTATAGAGGGACAAGTCTGTCCTTCATAGGACGTCCTTGGCCCCGAAGGGTTCCCTTGGTTTGAAAGATCAGCAATTTTATTTAGACATAATTTATTAGGCAAATTTATTAAATGATCATTCATAGTTATTAAGTTGACGGTGG